AGATAGATCTCATTGAATAGAATTGCAGTGCAAAAAAACATAACTCCGCTTTGCCTAATTTTGGAGTTTTTGCCCTTTGTTCATTTTTTTTATACTTTCCCGTGTCCAGAACCTTCTCGGGGAGCATCACCCGGTTCTTGTTAAATATCACAAGTATAATTACACTACATCAATATGGCTGTCAGACAGGTCCTGAAACAAAATAAAGGTTCTAAATAGCCCAGGTCACATACAAAAATAGAAGTGTATGCCCTGATTATGAGCTGACAGATAGAGGAATTTTTGTAAAGGGTGGCTTAGCCTGTCTGTTGTGATAACATGTCTAAAAAGTTTAACATGGTACATTTTAGCCACCATAGAATTTTCTTATCTAGAAAAAAATCTAGCTTTTTTTATTTGTACAAAAATATAGAAATAGTACAATGTACAATGTATAATTAGTAAAGTGTTCACTACACATGTATAAATAATGAAACTATTAATAAATGTCGGTACAGCCGCGGTACGGTATTCAGGTCAGGGGTTCGAGTCCATGTCAGGATGCACTTTTTGCTCACCCTGTGACTGACATACATTTGTATAGCCCAGCTAGAAATTAATTCATATTGCTAAGTAACCCTGGGAAATTCAAAGAAATATTTGCATACACAGTAGGTTTATAACTATTCAGTATTTAAACACATAAAATGTGTAAGCGGCCGAATAGCTCAGAGGAACTGACAAGAGGCGCGGAATTGTATTCCGAGTGTCAGGGGTTTGAGTGCGGCCGAATAGCTCAGAGGAACTGACAAGAGGCGCGGAATTGTATTCCGAGTGTCAGGGGTTTGAGTCCCTGCATATCAATATAAATCTGTTAAGAAAAATGGGAAGGAACTGTTTAAAATAATTATCACCCTAAATAGGATTCGGACAGTCTTTGATGAAAAGTCAGAAGGGCGGTGTCTGACGAACGTCATATCGGATATATTGGTACGCATATAAACACCTGTTTGCTGAATTGAATATCAAAAATGTTGCAATTAAATCTTATGCGTATGTAAAATAGGATTAAAACTAATCTTCGGCGTAAAGCATGTAGAAATTGATCAGTATTCACCACGAGGTCACAAACTTTAAAACTTTAATGTAAATATCACAATAATATTTCTTTATATAATATTTCTATTCTTTGACAGGGACACTGAACATCTTTTACATGTTTAAGAAATTTACATAATATATCTATCTAAGATATTCTTTTACTTCTCAATAGTAACAGACGCAAAACATGGTACTTAAACGCTTAGACGAACGCTTAGACGAACGCAGACGCATGCAAAACGTTTCTGGGAATAACAAACGCACACTTTCAGACGCACGATAAATGAAAAACGGTAAACGTTAAACGCTTGTAAACGATGCACGCTTGTAAAAGCGTTTCAACAAACGCACCTTGCACGATATTCGCACGCACCATATACGAAAAACGCACACACGAAAACTTGCGCACGCACGAAAAAACGCTATTTTTGACAACTGAAACGTTCACCCTACTGTACCTACGAAGAAATGAGGCATGAATGAGTGGTACAACATATTTAAAAACGATTCTACGCGTGATGTTGTCGACCGCCAAAGATCTGGACGCCCCAACAGGACAACTTGTTAAATACATGATTTGCCAATATAATATTCGAGAAACGATTCGTAAATTCCCAAAGTTCAAGTTCTGCTTTGACTAGTGGATTCTTAGATAGAAGTTTGTATTGTGTGATGGAGAATATTTCGGAAGGGTTTGATTTCAAGATGCGTATGACCGATTTTCTTGTCCAAAAGTAAGTTGACCCGCTCAACTTAACCCTACGTTACCATAAATGTTGTAGAATGTGCATTAATGCAAATGGTGATTGTTTTTCAACCAGATCATTAGCATAATTCTCCAAAGTAACAGTGCTGAATATTTTATCTAGATACGTTTCCAAATAAAAAATTATGAAACCTCTCCGGATACCTTTCTAACAGCCCTCGTACATGTTATTATATATTGCATAGGAACGTGAGGACATTTTTGATATTGATATCACTCAAATCACTCAACAGACAAAAACAGTTATAGAAGAAAAGTAAGTATCATTGAATGAAATGAAATGTTTGTAATTTTGTTGAGATAAACACTAACACAAAATTATATATCACAGACATAAAAGACAAGAGCCGGTTGAACCGGGTGATGCTCCACGAATAGGTTTTGGACACAGGAAGGTATACCATTGTAGTGTCGGAGTTATGTCACAAAGTTCAAAGTGTAAAACAACCCAAGTGTTGCACTCGACACATTGTCTTGGTGATCATTTCTGTGAAAAAGTTGTAAAATCCAACTTTAAATCACAAAGTTATGGACCGGACACGATTTTTCTGCAAGATCATGCTGTGACATTGACCTTCAAGGTAGAGACCCAAATGATGCTCATGACACGTCAACTCAACATGGCTTTTATTTCTGTGAAATAGTTATAAAATCCGACCTCAAATAATGAAGTTATGGACCGGACACGATTTTGCTGCGAGGCCATACTGTGACCTTGACATTTAAGGTAGCGACCCAAATGTTGCACACGACACGTCTTAAAATGGTGATCATTTATGTAAAACAGGTTTCAAACCCGACTTCAAATAACAAAGTAATGGGCCGGACACAATTTTTCTGCAAGGTCATGCTATGACCTTGACCTTCCAGGTATCGACCCTAATGCTACGCGCGACACGTTGTCTCAATATGGTGATTATTTCTGTGAAATAGTTTTAGAATCCGACCTCAAATAATGAAGTTATGGACCAGACACAATTTTGCTGCGAGGTCATGCTGTGACTCTGACCTTCAAGGTAGCGACCCACATGTTGCACGCGACATGTCGTCTCAATATGGTGAACATTTCTGTGAAATAAGTTTAAAATCTGACTTCAAATAACAAAGTTATGGACCGGGCGAGAATTCGGGAAGTACGTACTGACGGACGGACAACCCGACGACTATATGCTCCTCCAAATTTTTTCGGGGAGCATAAAAAGTTAATTATATATACATAATAATATTACAAGTGGCCCCCTGAGTAGAACCACCGACATTCCCTAGACTATCTAGATAGCTTTCTCAAAGGAAAATAAATCCAAAGTCTATGCCGGGATTAGAACCCACAACGTTGAAGGGAAATGGTTATAAGTCTATGACTAAAACCACTCGGCTACGGACGCCCCTGTTTTTTTGTTTTGTTTTTCATTATCATTTTTTGAAGATACACAATAATATTATTTAGAAAGTAACAATATGTTTTCAGAAAGACATTCATTATTACGGTTATAAATGTCCCATCTCTTACTACTTTCTTAAATTTTTATCAATGTACCTGTAAAGAGTACAACTTTATAGAAAACACTGTTTATTAAAAAACTGTCATTAATGAAGAGAATATTTTACATTCAAAATTGATAAGGTTTTAAAGCATGAAAGTTATGTACTATGTGTACTAACTTATCACAAAATACATACTTAGTTACTTCAGTACTTCATATTTATAAGTTGTAATTGCTGCACTTTGGTTATGCACTTATCGTCTAAGTACATGATAGTAATACACATTTAATCAAGTTCAGAGTTTTCCACATTCTGCTTTGAATTTAGTGATATGTAATGAATTCATAAGTTATGTAATATGTTATAAATACTTACAAAATTATCATAAAATATTATTCTAGTTCATTTTTGTCTCAACGTTTTAAGTTTATTGCATGTGTGTGTGTTTGAATGTTTGGAGTTATTATATTAGTTTCTTTAAGTAATTAATCAGTTTATAAAATTATAAAAATGGGTTTCCTTATTGTTCCTTTCAATGTCTTTAAAATTATAATTAAGAGAGGAGGAAAACAAAATGATTATATATAAATAATATTCCGTTATAACGGTAGAAATTTTCAGAAATCATCTGTTATTCATGAATATATGAGAAATAAGTTATTGTTCAATTAAGTATGTTGGTGTTATTTTTTGTTTAAAATCAAACAGGACAGTATATATTAAATAAAATGCGTTTGCTGTATTTCATATTGCCTCTGTATACAAAAATAATTGTCATAACATGTTTAATGAATAAACTGAAGAACTCGAGGTGGAAATGCAAATTACTGTTTGAATGTAACCATATTAACCCAGAGATATAATGTTGTTTGAACAAATAATTTTTTTTCCAGGATGACTGATTTAAAGAAAACACTTCAGAATCTGGAGTTTAAATCATCAACGAAGCAGATGAAGAATCAAACAAAAGACGATCTTTTGAATGAATTAGTACAGCTCTGTAAGGACGAAGAACGTGCATTGCAAGAATGGCAACGCTATTTTAAAGACAGTGTTTCTTTGTCTAAAGAAAAGACAAAGCAAAGTGAAGAAGCTGAAGATGTGGATATAAAAGGTGACAAAATACAGTTTTTAATTTGACAATACACCGATAAACACTTTCAGAACTAGCAGACGACAGGCTATTCATATCTGTAGAATTTCGAGTAAAGATAACGGATTGCGTATCTCACTGTATAAATCGTATGTAAAATGGTCTGACATATGGTAGGTTTAACAGTTAATTAAAATACTTTGAAGTCCAAAGATGTGTTGAATTTTATACTGTGACGAAGCTAAGATCCAAAGCTTTCTATTAATGTAATACATTTTAAAATCGGACATTTAATCACAACAAACTAGCGGTTTAAAAACAGCTTATTTTGTATTGTTTTAGCATAAGCGATATCGATTTTACTCGAAGATAAGGGAAGCAACTCATATTTTTTCACTTGATATACCTCGGTTATTTAGGTAGATCATATTGAAAGTGTTTATGGGTGTATTATACATGAATTTTAAAACACTTATGAATAAATATGAAATTGATAGAGATAATGAATCGCGCGCAGAACACAAGCCTGTAGCTTAAATATGAATGTTGCTCGTTTCATAAATGATTACCTCGAGTCGTGCCAGTAAACAATTCGACTCCGTCAATGTAAAACTTCCGAAGTTCACAAACGGGCCATTTTTTCAAATACATGCTACAGTTATGGAGAGAATCCTAAAATTTAAACTTGTTTCACTGCGAGATGTAAATTGAATATGAAATATCTGAGGTATGCAAACTTGAACGAAAATTCTAAGTGGAAAAAGGGGTATTTTTCTGTCAAAATGTTTAGTTTAAACATAGTTCATTTCAAATAAGTATACACATTAACAGTTTACAAATAGAACTTTACAACACATGAAATGAATGAAAAGGATCAGAACTGAAAGCTGATGCTTATTAAGGTCTTATCCTAGTTTTTATTTGCTATATATTAACATTGTGTATATGTATGTACATGGATATGCTTGAAAGTACAGCAGTGTTAGCGATTTTCCCTAACTTTACTGAGTACCTGGGACTCAGTGCTAATAGATCTGTTACGTCCCAATTCAAATCGAACGAGTCCTCAATTACAAAAATGTCAATGTTTGCATAACTTCATAAAACAATCAAATTTGTGACTGTTGATGTTCGCGGATACCATTGATAGGTTGGCCCAAAACGAGGCCGAGGACTTGCTCCTAGTCTACGTTTGGGATATAAATCTGCATTGCTAATGAGAAAGGAACAAATGAAAATGAGGTGAAAGTCAAGTTCTTATAATACAATTTATTTAAAGTGAATAGAAAATCATTTTCAAGCAGAGCAAAAAAACTTAAAAAAGAGAATTGACCAATTATCGGGGAAAAAGTGTTTCGTCCCAGGGACTCAACAGCCCTTTTTAGCTCACCTGTCACAAAGTGACAGGGTGAGCTTTTGTGATCGCTTTTCGTCCGGCGTCCGTCCGTCCGTCCGTCCGTAAACTTTTGCTTTAAATGACATCTCCTCATAAACCACTGAGCCAATTTCATCCAAACTTCACAGGAATGTTCCTTTGGTGGTCACCTTTAAAAATTGTTCAAAGAATTTAATTCCATGCAGAACTCTGGTTGCCATGGCAACCAAAAGAAAAAACTTTAAATATCTTCTTTTAAAAAACCATAAGAGCTAGAGCTTAGATATTTGGCATGAAACATCTTCTAGTGAGTGTCTACCAAGTTTGTTCAAATAAAAGCCCTGGGGTCAAAATTGATTTTCCTTATATGTGTATAGCAAAAACTTAAAAATCTTCTTTGGAAAAACCCAAATAGCTAGAGTTTAGATATTAAGCATGAAACATCTTTAAGTAAATATCTACAAAGTTTGTTAAAATAAACGCCCGGGGGTCAAAACTGGCCCTGCCCCAGGGGTGTCATTGTTTTTAACTATATGTGTATAGTAAAAACTTTAAAAATCTTCTTTTAAAAAAGCCAATGAGCTAGAACTTAGATGTTTAGCATGAAACATCTTCTTATGGGTGTCTACCAAGTCTGCTCAAATAAACAAATAAAAGCCCTTGGGTATAAATTGGCCCGGGGGTGGGGGGGGCCTATATACAGGTGAGCGACCTCAGGGCCATCATGGCCCTCTTGTTTTCTTTCCTCCCTGGCAATTTTAGCGAGTAAATTGATATGTTTACTCAGTAAACGCGAACACTGTACAGAATATGTCAAAATATATCATATAGTTACTTTCTCCTGTCTACACGTTGAGGGCATGATGGTGAACACGTGCACTCAGTTTCAAAGCCATATGTCAATGAACTTAAACAATATATGAAGTGTTACACAAACTTAAACGTTAATTCTTAGCCAAAAAAGGGACATCATTCTGTCATAATGCTTGATAGAGTTACCTCCTCCTATCTAAGGTAAGGGCATGATGCCGATTGTGAACAAGTGTGCTATATGTCAATGGACTATGAAATATTTTAGGTGGTACGCAAACTTAAACGTATATTTTAAGTTGAGAAAGGGGCATAATCTGTCAAAATGCTACATAGAACAACCTCTTCCTGTTTACAGATTAGGGGCATGATTGTGAACAAGTGAGCAAAGTTTCTAAGCCGTATGTAAATGGCCTTTGGAAATAGTTGAAGTGGTACACAAGTTTTAACCCATTTCTTCAAATAGACATGTTTTCACGCCCTTTCATCCCCCCTTTTAAGGGTCCTCAAATAGTGAAAAAATGTCCTGTTTTTGGCCCCAAACAGTTGTTTTCATTTAAGACATGTTGTTAAAAAAGTGATAACTTTTTCTGCTCCGCCTCAAGAACATACTCCTGTTGATCTTAAGGTAACGTGAAACCAACGCTGAAAAGCCGTTGACTATCTCAATCCATTGAGAAGTTGCAGCACTTTGAAATCTGTTTTGATGGAAAGAATCAACATAAAATAGTAATTTTAGGATATTGAGATGTTCCTTCGTTGCCATGGTAACAGGTTATTTAAGAGTGAGCATGCCGATACAAAGGCTATGGGCCATTTTACATTTGTACAACTTGTTTATTATCAAATCATTTTTATAGTTTCAAAGCAATGAACTTGTAACAGGAAGCATTTCATTGAAAACAGCCATTTTTTTCACAAATTGCTCATACAGTAATGGGTAAATGTAAATTCTTAAGTCGAAAAAGGGGCACAATTCTGTCAAAATGGTTACCTCCTCTTGTCTAAAGGCTGTGGCATGATTGTGAAAAAGTGTGCAGAGTTTCATACCCATATATCAATGGACTTTGAACATATTTTAGGTGGTATGCACACTCTAACATAAATTCTAAGTCGAAAAAGGGGCATAATTCTGTCAAAATGCTTGATAGAGTTACCTCCTCCTGTCTACCGGTGGGGGCATAATGGTGAACAAGTATGCGAAGGTTCGAAGCCATTTGTTAATGGACTGAAAATATTTGAGGTGGTACAAAAACTTTAACATAAGTGATAATTCCTATGTCGACGCTCAGGTGACTAGAATAGCCCTACTTATTCCATTATTACAGTCGAGCTAAAAAGCTTAAATTTATCAAACATTTATACAAAGTTAAGCATATAAGTGTAAAGTAACTTGCTAAAAAATCTAGATTACATTGTTTGTCGAAATTCATGATATGGAATTTATATTAAAGCGCAAGGTTTGTGATGTCATGGTAAATGTTTCCTCACTCCTTGAAGGATAACCAGGAATTAATATGTTCGACATCATGACAACATGTTGCAAACGCTCAGACGTCAAGGTCAAAATTGGTCGCTGTAAGCCATGATAAAATGTTTTCCTAATTATAGTGTATTGATTGTTGTACCAACAGTCTTCGAAATTAGCGACGGTCCGAGGCCCGAGACCGCTAAATTCCGCGCCGGTCTGGTGAAAATTGCCAGGTCAGTGGTCCGTCGGGCCAGTAGATTTTTCAGCAGTATAAAATATCCTTTAAGAAAAAACTTAAAAAAATACAATCCAGCAAGTGGATTCAATCGACAGATTCATAAAAAATACTTATTATTAGACAATAACAGCGATAAATAATCGGCTGATGATTATCTAGCGTCGGAAACGTCTCGTGTTCGTATATGTTTTATACATGTCCGGTGTTATAGTACTTTTCTCTTACTTTCGCTTCAAAGCGTTCTTTAGTAGAATTATCGATCTGAAATGAATTTTCTTCGTCATTTTGAAGGCGCCAAGCCCGGTGTTAAGCGAAAGGTAGTAAGTGATCCCAACACTAAGAAAAATGAGTATGAAAAAAAGAGAAAAAGAACTTTCCAGCACTCATGGCTCAAAGAATTTCCGTGGCTGACATATGACGAAGCTGTCGGTAAAATGTATTGCACTAATTGTAAATTGAAATCAAACAATGATAATTCGCCATTTGTGAAGGGAAATGAAAATTTTAAAATTGATGTCATAAAGACCCATGCAAGTTCACGACTCCATCTGAAAAATGCAAACGTAATTTCTGCAGAAAAAAACCCTGTATGCCAAAGTCAGGCTGCTGAATGTTTAACAAAGCTGAAAAAGGCAGAATATGACAAGCTTGTTGTGAAATTTAGAACTGTTCACTGTTTAGCCAAGTGTCACCTTAGTTTTAATCTGTACAAAACAATATGCAGGCTTGACCAATCCAAGGGCCTAGATGTTGGCAAAAGTTATTTGAATGACAAATCAGCAGCTAGTTTCATGTCAGCAATTGCACAAGTGGTAAGACAAGATGTTGTGAAAGTTTTGGATCAATCAAAGTATTTCAGTTTTACAATTGATGGTGCTACAGACTTTATGGGTGACGATATTGAAAACATTTATATACGAACATGTACACTTGGTAATATCAAAGACACCTTCTTACATATTGGACCTTCAGAATCTGCATGCAGTCAAGATATTCACAACCACGTCAAGGGAGTTTTTGAGAAGCTAGGTGTCAGCAATGCCCTTAAAGATAAATTAGTTGGATTTACTGCGGACGGAGCATCAAATATGCAAGGTAAGTTAAGTAAATCTTTTAAATGATAGAATATTTTCATTACTTAATTATTCATCCTATTAAATAGGAAACAAATAGTTTTTAACATGTTTTAAATTTAAAATAAAAATTAAGGATTTCACCTTCAAATTCTCATTGCATACTGTAAATACTTTCACAATAGAATGTTACCATAAATATTAAGTTTAACATTGATTTTCCAAAGTCTATTTTTGAATGTTGAAACAATACATATTGTTTTTATGCCACCGCAGCATCTGCGATGCGGTGGCATATAGCGATTCACCTGTGTGTGTGTGTGTGTGTGTGTGTGTTTGTTTGTTTGTGTGTGTGTGTGTTATATAGATTATATAGTGAACTTAAAAGATCTTCTTGTGAAAAACCACTTGTCCAATTTCAACCAAACTTGGCAGGATTGATCCTTGGGTGAAGGGCTCCCAAAGTTGTTCAAAGAATTTCATTCCATGCAGAAATCTGGTTGCCATGGCAACCAAAAGGAATTATAAGAATAAATTTAAAAAATCTTCTTGTAAAGACCCAGAAGGCCTAGAGCTTAGATATTTTGCATAAGGCATTGTCTGGTAGACCTCTACCAAGATTGTTCAAATTATAGCCCTGGGGTCAAAATCGGCCCGCCCCGGGGGTCATTGATTTTCACTATAAGTACATATAGTAAAAACTTAAAATACCTTCTTGTAAAGACCCAAAAGGCCCAGAGCTTAGATATTTTGCATAAGGAATTGTCTTGTAGACACTTACTAAGATTGTTCAAATTATAGCCCTGGGGTCAAAATCGGCCCGCCCGGGGGGTCATTGAATTTCACTATATGTACATATAGTAAAAACTTTAAATACCTTCTTGTAAAGATCCAAAAGGCCCAGAGCTTAGATATTTTGCATAAGGCATTGTCTTGTAGACCCTTACTAAGATTGTTCAAATTATAGCCCTGGGGTCAAAATCGGCCCCGCCCCAGGGGTCATTGATTTTCACTATATGTACATATAGTAAAAACTTAAAATACCTTCTTGTAAAGACCCAAAAGGCCCAGAGCTTAGATATTTTGCACAAGGCATTGTCTTGTAGACACTTACTAAGATTCAAATTATAGCCCTGGAGTCAAAATCGGCCCCGCCCGGGGGGTCATTGCATTTCACTATATGTACATATAGTAAAAACTTAAAATACCTTCTTGTAAAGACCCACAAGGCCTAGAGCTTAGATATTTTGCATAAGGCATTGTGTATTGAACCTCTAGCAAGATTGTTCAAATTATAGCCTTGGGGTCAAAATAGGGCCCGCCCGGGGGTCATTGGTTTTCTTTATATGTATATTGTAAAAACTTACAGTAAAAACTTTAAAAAAATTTCTTCTAGCAATTGACAAATGCTAGAGGTTAGATATTTTGCATGAAACATTGTATAGTGAACCTCTAGCAAGATTTTTCAAATTATAGCCCTGGGGTCAAAATTGCCCATGCCACGGGGGTCATTGATTTCCAATATATACATATAGTAAAAAATCAAAAAATCTTATTGTTTGAAGGTACAAGGTTTAGAGCTTTAATATTTGTTAAATGATTTCATCTATAGGTACTCTACCAAAGTTGTTGAAATTTTGCCTCTTGTGTCAAAATTAGCCTCGCCCCGGGGGCCATAGGTTTTCCTTATATGTGTATAGTAAAAACTTAAAAAATCATCTTCTCTAAATTAACAAAGGCTAGAGTTAAGATATTTTGCATGAAACATTAAGTATTGAACCTCTAGCAAGATTGTACAAATTATAGTCCTGGTGTCAAAATTGGCCCCACCCCCAGGGGTATTTGATTTTCACTATGTACATATAGTAAAAAATTAAAAAATCTTCTTGTCTGAAGGTACAAGGCTTAGAGCTTTGATTTTGGTACATAATATCATCTATGGGTTCTCTACTAAAGTTGTTTTAATTATGCCCCTAGTGAAAAATTGCCCTGCCCTAGAGGCGATAGTTTTCCTTATATGTATAAAGTAAAAACTTGAAAAATCTACTTCTCTGAATTGACAAAGGCTAGAGGTTAAGTTTATGACATGAGACTTTGGGAAGTGAACCTCTGGGGGCAGTGATTTTCATTATATCACATAATAAAAACAGAAAATAAAACAAATGTTTTCTGAATGGGAGAAAGCTACAGCTTAAATTTATGACTTGAAATGTTGTTTGGTGGACCTGTATCAAGATTGTTTTGAATTAAACCCTTGGTCAAAATTTTGCCTTGCCCAAGGGGACAGTGACCTACTTTCTTGTCCTTTGATGTACAGTAATGAAATTTTGACCATGTGCACAGTTTTAGTTGTAAAACTGAACTTTTATATCAAGTGACCTAGATTTTGATTATGTGACTTACTTTCTTGTCTTTTGATGTACAGCTATGAAATTTGAACCATGTGCACAGATTAAGATGTAAAGTGAACTTTGATATCAGCTGACCTAGATTTTTACAAAGTGTCTTACTGTGTTGTCCTTTGATGTAGTCATGAAATTTAGGCTGTTGTCTGCTTATCTTTCTGCAAGGGAATGCTAGCAGTTTATAGTAATACGTTGGTTTTGCATTGGTACCGACTCATCCAGACAATAATATACAAAGTTAATAAAAGACCCGTTCTTCAACAGTATTTGTTCCTACACTTCTATTGAGTGTTGTATTAATGCGGTGGCATAGCATTTTCTCAAATGCAATCTTGTTCTTTTTATCTTACATGTTTAAAAATGTTCACATTTTTTCAGGGAAGAAATCTGGATTAGCAACACTTCTGAAAACAAATTGCCCCCACTTGGTAGTCACACATTGTTTGGCGCATAGATTAGAGCTTGCCTTCAAAGACAAAGGTGCAAAGTAAGAAGAATTATGACCAGACCATTACACTTTTACTTGGGCTTTATTATATATACAGAAAGAGTCCAAAGTCAAAAAAGTCACTTTTTCGAACATTTAATTCACTTGAGATGAAACCTATCATGCCTACAAGGATTGGTGGGACAAGATGGCTTCCACATGTTGAACGAGCCATAAAAGTTTTCATGAAAGGGTACAAAGCATTCTGCTTCCACTTACAAAACTCCTCACACGAGAATGCCAAGGCAGAAGGATTAGCGAAATTGGCTTGTGATGGACATGTGCTTGTCTTTATGCTTAAACTAAAGGTATAGCTTATTGTCAGTGTTATATTTAAGTTTAGTAAGTCATTTTAATTTTTGAACTTTAGAGTTATATAGACTTAAAAAAAAATAATATAAATGAATATAAATTAACCATGAAACACATTAATTAGCAAAGTTTCTGTACATTTGACCTACTCAAGATAACAGTAATAACAACTTATCTCTAGATTGAAAAAAAATCAAATCTACTTTTTCAATTTCCAGGATGTGGTTGGTGTCCTACAGAAGCTTTCACTTGTGCTACAAAAAAGGAATCTCAGTCTCGCTGATGCTTACACACATGTTTATGCCACACTGGACCTCCTTAGAGCACGCAAAACAAGGTAATATCAATATTTAATATTATATTTTATTATACTTATTTCTTTTAACATGGATTTAAAAGCTGATGGTGATTTGTTATTTTTTTCACAGAGAGGATACTGAAGTGCTTAATGTTCTCCAAACAGAAGAGTTCCAAACTCTGCATTTATCATTTAAAGGCTCCAAACCAAAGGCAACAAATGAAAATCTAATCAATAGTCTCATTGACTGTCTTGTAACCAGGTTTCCAGCTGACAGTTCCCAAGTGTTTCAAGCTAGCTTGATAAGCAGTTTTAATAACTGGCCTGCTGAAGGTTCAGATGATATTACAGGTTAATAATGCGTTAAAGCCCATGTTGATTGTTATAAATGTTTGTTTATTTTTGTTTTGAATAAGCTGTTTCCATGAAGAATGTTGCTGTTACAGTCTGTTGCTATTGATTGTTATGTGTCTGAAAGAATTGTTTTTTTATGTTGTTTTTTTTTTGTTATCTGAAACAAGTTCTTTTTTAACCATTTAGTATTCCTTTTTGCTTTTAATAAAAACTAAGTAAAAATATGTGGACCATTTATTAAAGAAATAAAATATGTATGTTATTGTTTTTAATGTTTGTGTAAGTATTTATCAATAAAAATAAATGCAGTTGTATGCTTATATACCTTATTTCAGCCAAATTTGGTTACTTTTATATATACTGTATATATACAGATTGATGTTTGTTTTATACTAGATTATGGTACAAGTGAAGTAAAGCAACTTCATTCACAGTTTGGTGCTATCCTGCCCCAGTCTGGTGAAGCTCAACTTGACATTTTGTTGGAAGAATGGTCTCTTCTTAAGCATTTATTGTACAGAAAGTAAGTTTAGTTTCAAGACAAATGTAAATATCATAATTTTTTTTGAAATCAGTTAAAGTTCAAATATGTCAGCTACTTCTATAGGTTATGTCTTAAATATGAAATCATTTTTCTCTGACACTTTCATTTTGGAAAGATATAAGTGTTGTATTATTAGGCATTGATGTTATGCAGCTTTAATGTAACTTACATTTATTGTTATTAACTTTACATCTTTATTTGCTTTAGAGTTGGACAGAAGCTTGTTAATGGAAAACTTCAGTGGGAAGATGTATTCAGAATGTTGAAAGACCATGACCTTCACATTGTTCCAGATCTCATAGATCTTTTAAGGGCGTTACCGCCAACTTCTGTAAAGAATGAGACCACCTTTAGTGCAATGAAGCTCTTAAAAACTAAAAGGAGGGGTAGGATGAGCACTAGGACACTAAATGAATTGATGCTTGCCCACCTGGAGTCCCCTTCCATAGAGGATTTTAACCCTGACCAGGCAATAAAACAGTGGATGGTATGTTAAACTTATTTAATTATTTTATTGTAACCTCAGCATTGATTATCTGTTTCAAACTTAAGATAACAGTCAAATTAATTTTAAACAAGATTCATGAATCTCTTTTTTTTTTCCATTAAAATCTTAGTGAAGAAATTATGCATTTTTTAAAATTTTGATAGGTAACCCCATCTGGTAGACCAAGACATTTAGGGTATGAAAGGTCATCTACAGTCCAAGTTCAGGCTAATGAAACTGACTGTAACAGTAACAAAGAAAATACAGGATCAGCCACAACAAATATTGAGGTGGTTAGTTGTAGTCAGCCTAATGTGGAAATGGAATTATCAAAGGTATGTATAATATTGTGTTTTATATTGAGTCCAACATTTTATTTAAAGAAATGTCATCAGTTTTCATAATTACTTTTATTTGCTTTCTAATTTTGAATTACCCATATTGAAGAACATTTAGCACCTCTGTGTTCTCAGCTTTACTAATACTTTTGATCATTTTTCTCTTTATTACAGTGCGATGATTCTGATTGTGATTCTACTGAAGTGATTCTGATTGTGATTCTGCCTTCAGTGATGATGGTTTAGATGATGATGATGAGTTAGAGGATGATGAAAGCATGGAGATGTCTGCAGATCATGTCTTTTCTCTGTTACAGTCATTAAGTTTTTGCAGAGAATAAACAATAAATATATATGAATTATATTTTCTTTATTTATTTTTATAATTATTGTATGAATATTCGGTCCAGCTAAAGATCATCAGGTCCGTTAAGTTTTAAGATTTTACTGGTCCAAATGTCCTGTGCCTGTAAAAGTTTTTCGTGAAGACTGTACCAAGGATGAATGTTGAAATTGATTGGCTTAATCGGGTATAATGACAATGTGTCGCGCGTAATATTTAGCTATTTAAGCTCAATGGTTAAGGTCACACTTGTGCATCGAAAGTCTTAATATAATTGTGATTAGTTGGTCGAGTTCTGTCCATTCCATTTTCATTCATGAATGAATTTTGAATAATTATGCATAAATGTAAAGCAAATTGAGCAGATATGGCGCAGGCTAAAACAATATAAGAAGACCTAAACTCCAAGTCGCACTTGAATAATTGTCAATTGTATATCGATGTACAATGATAATCCACCACCAGTTTTACAATTAAAAAGGTAATGGTAATACATGTACTTGGATTTGAAAGGAAATCATTACTTGCTTTATATGGCTATGGTTTGTTAATTCATCAATCATTTAATTATATTTATTGAAATAATTGAGAAAACTTTAAAAAATGGGAAAAAATGTTATGCTTCTTTATTTTTGTAACGGAAGTCAAAAATCATTTTTCTTACTGGGATTAGCTTTTGTCTGTTTCCGACAATATGTCTTGTTGTTATTTCAATTTACAGAGATTTGGGACAGGTTGACAAAAATACTCGGACCAGGCCCTGCATTACTGGTTGAAAGAACTGACATGAATGAAGAAATGGAAGTTCTACACAAATCATTCATAATTGTTTCCGATCCGCTTTTTGAGGTAAATTGCCTGATGTTTGATATTGTGATTAGTATTGAAAATTAGTTTATTCTTGCATTCTTCAATTTACTAATAAACAACTCATATTATAAGTTCAGCGAGAACAATCTCTTTTCTTTAGCTTTCGATGTTTAGTCTTCTTCAGAAAAAAATGACGTTTATGTAATAACAAATGACAAATGACGCAACGTCCGTTGGAACTTGACGTTTAGCGGAAATAAAACTTTGTCAAATAAATACAGAATCTTTCATACATAAATACAGCAATATACATGTACTATAAAATATATATAGAATATGGATCTCCACATGTAATACAAAATTTTTCATAAATAATAATATTAAAAAACCTCGATTTTTTTCCTAATTAACAACTTGTTTTAGGAACAATAAGAGGTCAGTTGCTTTACGTTCTTCTTGATATGGTTAACAAACCAAAATATATAAAATCATACTAACATGCAATAATATTCTTTTCATATATCAAATCACAAATGTTTTCGAGTATAATACAACAAATAAATTTTCACTCTCACAGTTAACACAGGGTGCCTGTGTCTGAGTGCGCGCGCACGCGCGCGCAAGTGTGCGTGTGTGTGCCACGTGCATGTACGAGTTAGTATGATTTTTGTTCATCAAAAGATTAGTGTATTTGGTTTTAAAACATACAAGATAGATAATTTTAAGTATTTTTAGCTCACCTGTCAAAAAGTGACAGGGTGAGCTTTTGTGATCGCTTTTCGTCCGTCCGTAAACTTTTACTTTAAATGACATCTCCTCATAAACCACTGAGCCAATTTCATCCAAACTTCACAGGAATGTTCCTTTGGTGGTCACCTTTAAAAAATGTTCAAAGAATTTAATTCCATGCAGAAACTCTGGTTGCCATGGCAACCGAAAGAAAAAACTTTAAATATCTTCTTTTAAAAAACCATAAGAGCTAGAGCTTAGATATTTGGCATGAAACATCTTCTAGTGAGTGTCTACCAAGTTTGTTCAAATAAAAGCCCTGGGGTCAAAATTGGCCCCGCCCCGGGGGGTCATTGATTTTCCCTATATGCATATAGTAAAAACTTAAAAAAATTTCTTTTAAAGAACCCAAAGAGCTAGAGCTAAGATATTTAGCATGAAACATGTTCTAATGGGTGTCTACCAAGTTTGTATAAATAAAAGCCCTGGGGTCAAAATTGGCCCCGCCCCGGGGGGTCATTGATTTTCCCTATATGCATATATAAAAAAATTAAAAAATCTTCTTTTAAAGAACTCAAAGAGCTATGGCTAAGATATTGAGCATCAAACATGTTCTAATAGGTGTCTACCAAGTTTGTTCAAATAAAAGCCCTGGGGTCAAAATTGGCCCCGCCCCGGGTGGTCATTGATTTTCCCTATATGCATATAGTAAAAACTTAAAAAATCTTCTTTTAAAGAACCCAAAGAGCTAGAGCTAAGATATTTAGCATGAAACATGTTCTAATGGGTGTCTACCAAATTTGTTCAAATAAAAGCCCTTGGGTCAAAATTGGCCCCGCCCCGGGGGGTCATTGATTTTCCCTATATACATATAGTAAAAACTTAAAAAATCTTCTTTTAAAGAACTCAAAGAGCTATGGCTAAGATATTGAGCATCAAACATGTTCTAATAGGTGTCTACCAAGTTTGTTCAAATAAAAGCCCTGGGGTCAAAATTGGCCCGGCCCCGGGAGGTCATTGATTTTCCCTATATGCATATAGTAAAAACTTAAAAAATCTTCTTTTAAAGAACCCAAAGAGCTAGAGCTAAGATATTTAGCATGAAACATGTTCTAATGGGTGTCTACCAAGTTTGTTCAAATAAAAGCCCTAGGGTCAAAATTGGCCCCGCCCCGGGGGGTCATTGATTTTCCCTATATGCATATAGTAAAAACTTAAAAAATCTTCTTTTAAAGAATCCAAAGAGCTAGAGCTAAGATATTTAGCAAGAAACATGTTCTAATGGGTGTCTACCAAGTTTGTTCAAATAAAAGCCCTGGGGTCAAAATTGGCCCCGCCCCAGGGGGTCATTGATTTTCCCTATATGCATATAGTTAAAACTTAAAAAATCTTCTTTTAAAGAACTCAAAGAGCTATGGCTAAGATATTGAGCATCAAACATGTTTTAATAGGTGTCTACCAAGTTTGTTTAAATAAAAGCCCTGGGATCAAAATTGGCCCTGCCCCGGTGGTCATTGATTTTTCCCTATATGCATATAGTAAAAACTTAAAAAATCTGCTTTTAAAGAACTCAAAGAGCTATGGCTAAGATATTGAGCATCAAACATGTTCTAATAGGTGTCTACCAAGTTTGTTCAAATAAAAGCCCTGGGGTCAAAATTGGCACCGCCCCGGGGGTCATTGATTTTCCTTATATGTGTATAGCAAATACTTAAAAAATCTTCTTTGAAAAAACCCAAATAGTTAGAGTTAAGATATTAAGCATGAAACATCTATTAGTGAGTGTCTACAAAGTTTGTTCAAATAAAAGACCTGGGGTCAAAATTGGCCCTGCCTCGGGGGTCATTGATTTTCTTTATATGTGTATAGCAAAAACTTAAAATCTTCTTTGAAAAAACCCAAATAGCTAGAGTTTAGATATTAAGCATGAAACATCTTCTAGTGTCTACAAAGTTTGTTCAAATAAAAGCCCTGGGGTCAAAACTGGCCCTGCCCCAGGGGTGTAATTGTTTTTAACTATATGTGTACAGTAAAAACTTTAAAAAAAATCTTCTTTTAAAAAGCCCAATGAGCTAGAGCTTAGATGTTTAGCATGAAACATTTTCTTATGGGTGTCTACCAAGTTTTTGCAAATAAAAGCCCCTGGGTTAAATTGGCCCTGCAACGTTGGAGTGGGGGGTTGGGGGGCCTATATACAGGTGAGCGACCTCAGGGCCATCATGGCCCTCTTGTTGTTCTTGTAGCTCGAATAGTAACTAATTTATTGTCTATGTTATATGTAAAATGACACCTGGGATCTATCCTCTTTTTTTTTTTACGTTACAGGTATTAAGAAAAATACATAAGAAATATACCAGGACAGAGCAATACATTTAAGATTGTTATCCCCCGCCGATGGAATCGGGAGGGGGATATAGTTTTGGCGTTGTCCGTCCGTCCGAATTTCGTTTCCGGAGTAGTCCTCTGCAACTACTGGCTGGAATTCAACGAAACTTTATGGGAATCATCAATATCAAGAGGAGATGCACATATCGTCGGCTTGTTCTGGTCCGACCTTTTAACTCAGAGTTATGGCCCTTGATTAGTTATGTAGTATGCATATAGAGTAAAAATCGTTTCCGCACTACTTCTCTGCAACTACTGGCTGGAATTCAACGAAACTTTATGGGAATCATCAATACCAACAGGAGATGCGCATATCATCGGCTTGTTTCGGTTAGACACTTTAACTCAGAGTTATGGCCCTTGATTAGTTATGCAGTATGCATATGGAGTAAAAATCGTTTCCGCACTACTTCTCTGCAACTACTGGCTGGAATTCAACGAAACTTTATGGGAACCTTCAATACCAAGAGGAGATGCGCATATCGTCGGCTTGTTTGGGTCAGACACTTTAACTCGGAGCTATGGCCCTTGATTAGTTATGCAATATGCATATGGAGTAAAAATCGTTTCCAGAGTAGTTCTCTGCAACTACTGGCTGGAATTCATAGAAACTTTATGGGAATCATCAATATCAAGAGGAGATGCGCATATCTTCGGCTTGTTCTGGTCAGACACTTTAACTCAGAGTTATGGCCCTTGATTAGTTATGCAGTATGCATATGGAGTAAAAATCGTTTCCAGAGTATTCTCTGCAACTACTGGCTGGAATTCAAGGAAACTTTATGGGAACCTTCAATACCAAGAGGAGATGCGCATATCGTCGGCTTGTTCCGGTCAGACACTTTAACTCAAGAGTTATGGCCCTTGATTAGTTATGCAGTATCCATATAGAAAAATATTTGTTTCTTCGCTACTTCTCTGCTACTACTGGCTGGAATTCAATGAAACTTTATGAGATACTAAGAGGAGATATGCATATAGTCGCCTTGTTCCAGTCAGATACTTATAACTCAGATTTATGGCCCTTGATTAGTTATGTAGTATGCATACATCTCATTGGCATTTCCAGATTTTACTATTTAACACAAAGTTATGGCTCTGCTATTGCCCTGAATATTTATCAAGTTCAAAGAATATTACTGTTTATGCCATGATTAATATATAAGCCTTATGTCTTCAGTTGTTGTGTTATTAATAACCAGTACTCGGCGGGGGATATAAATTCAACGAATTTGCTTGTTACTTAAGTTTTGACTCTTGAGTATTATTCTTGTTTATTACATTATGCAAACATACAAAATATTTAATATTCCAAGACGGAACAAAAATTTTTAAAAAAATGTGTAAAGGCATGTTTCATTTTATCAGTTTTTTTAGCTCACCTGAGCATATGCTCAGGGTGAGCTATTAGGATCACTCTTCGTCTGTCCATCGTACGTCGTCCGTCGTACATCGTCCGTTCACACTTTTAAAATGACATCTCCTCTGAAACCATAAGGCAGATCATAATGAAACTTCACAGGGATGTTCCTTGTGTGAGCCTTAACAAAGTTGTTCAAAGAATTCCATTCCATGCAGAACTCTGTTTGCCATGGCAACCAAAAGAAAAAACTTCTACTAAAAAACTCAAAGAGCTAGAGCTTAGATTTTTGGCATGAAACATCTTCTAGTGAGTGTCTACCAAGATTGTTCAAATAAAAGCCCTGGGGTCAAAATTGGCCCCGCCCCAGGGGGTCATTGATTTTCCCTATATGCATATAGTAAAAACTTAAAAATCTTCTTTTAAAGAACCCAAAGAGCTAAAGCTAAGATATTTAGCATGAAACATGTTCTAATGGATGTTTACCAAGTTTGTTCAAATAAGTGCCCTGGGGTCAAAATTGGCCCCGCCTCGGATGTCATTGATTTTCCTTATATGTGTATAACAAAAACTTTAAAAATCTTCTTTGAAAAAAACTCAAATAGCTAGAGTTTAGATATTATGCAGGAAGCATCTTCTAGTGAGTGTCTACCAAGTTTGTTCAAATAAAAGCCCTGGGGTCAAAATTGGCCCTGCCCCAGGGGTCATTCCTTTTCCTTATATGTGTATAACAAAAACTTTAAAAATCTTCTTTGAAAAAAACTCAAATAGCTAGAGTTTAGATATTATGCAGGAAGCATCTTCTAGTGAGTGTCTACAAAGTTTGGTCAAATAAAAGCCCTGGGTGTCAAAATTGGCCCCGCCCCGGGTGACATTGATTTTCCTTGTATGTGTAAAGCAAAAACTTAAAAATCTTCTTTGAAAAAACCTGAATAGCTAGAGTTTAGATATTAAGCATGAAACATTTTCTAGTAAGTGTCTACAAAGATTGTTCAAATAAAAGCCCTTGGGTCAAAACTGGCCCTGCCTCAGGTGTGTCATTGTTTTTAACTATATGTGTAAAGAAAAAAAACTTGACCAGCTAGATTAGACCTTAGATGTTAAGCATGAAATATCTTCTAATGGGTGTCTACCAAGTTTGTTCAAAAAAAAGCCCTGGGGTTTAAACTGGTGGCCCTGCTCCGGGGGGGGGGGGGGGGGGGGGCCTATGTACAGGTGAGGGACTTCAGGGCCATCATGGCCCTCTTGTTTTAATTAGATTTTGCTTCAAAAAATCTTTCTGTTCGAAATTTTTATAGGAAGGAATGAAATACTACCTATTTTAGTCTTAAATGTTCACTTGTTGAAACATTTTTATGCCCCCACAATGTGGGAGCATATAGCGTTGCACTTGTCCGTCCGTCAGTCCGTCCGTACGTCCCGAAATCTTGTGAACGCAACTCCTCTTAAACCGGATGGCAGATTTTGCTTAAACTTACCTTGATGAACAACCTTAATGTGTAGATGGTAGTAAAGGAAGGAATTTTCGCTGCGACCAAATTTAACAGAATTATGGCCCTTTGTTGATTTTTTCACTAGATACTATGTAGAAATTTTGTGAACGCAACTCCTCTTAAACCGGATGGCAGATTTTGCTTAAACTTACAGGGATGAACAACCTTAATGTCTAGATGGTAGTAAAGGAAGGAATTTTTGCTGCGACCAAATTTAACAGAATTATGGCCCTTTGTTGATTTTTTCATTAGATACTATGTAGAAATTTTGTGAACGCAACTCCTCTTAAACTGGATGGCAGATTTTGCTTAAACTTACAGGGATGAACAACCTTAAGGTGTAGATGGTAGTAAAGGAAGGAATTTTCACTGCGACCAAATTTTACAGAATTATGGCCCTTTGTTGATTTTTTCACTATATACTATGTAGAAATTTTGTGAATGCAACTCCTCTTAAACCGGATGGCAGATTTTGCTTAAACTTCCAGGGATGAACAACCTTAATGTGTAGATGGCAGTAAAGGAAGGAATTTTTGCTGCAACCAAATTTAACAGAATTATGGCCCTTTGTTGATTTTTTCATTATATACTATGTAGAAATTTTGTGAATGCAACTCCTCTTAAACCTGATGGCAGATTTTGCTTAAACTTCCAGGGATGAACAACCTTAATGTCTAGATGGTAGTAAAGGAAGGAATTTTTGCTGCGACCAAATTTAAGAGAATTATGGCCCTTTGTTGATTTTTAGTTTTCAACTTGTGGCACATGTAGTCCAAAAAATATTTGACCTAGAGTCATAAGATTGACAGAACAGTGGCGTGTGGGGGCATCCGTGTCCTATGGACACATTTCTAGTTTAAAACTTAGTTTAAAAGTAAATAACATCTAAGTAAATATGAATTGTTCCTTTAATATTGTTTTAAAGACATGATATATCAACGTTATTGATGCTTAATTCAAAATTGAGTATTTTTCATGATAAAAGATCAGTCTTTTAATTTCTAAAATATCTAACTCAACTTCATGCTCATTTTAGTTCGACTCATTTAAAGCTTTTTCTTCAGTCAAGTCGTCACTGCCGTTGCCATCTAGGAACTTTAAGATTGTTCAGAATGCCTTTGATTTCTCTATTAATTGTTTGAAAATTTTGACACAATAAGCCTTTGGACAAGGCCTTTTAGTACACCAGATAAAACTTGACATTGACTTGACATTTGAGATCATTTTTAGCTCACCTGTGACAAAGTGACAGGGTGAGCTTTTGTGATCGCTTTTCGTCCGTCCGTCTGTCGTCCGTCATCCGTAAACTTTTACTTTAAATAACATCTCCTCATAAACCACTGAGCCAATTTCATCCAAACTTCACAGGAATGTTCCTTTGGTGGTCACCTTTAAAAATTGTTCAAAGAGTTTAATTCCATGCAGAACTCTGGTTGCCATGGCAACTGATAGAAAAAACTTAAAATAACTTCTTTTAAAAAACCAAAAGGGGTAGAGCTTAGATATTTGGCATGAAATATTTTCTAGTGAGTGTGTATCAAGTTTGTTCAAATAAAAGCCCTGGGGTCAAAATTGGCCCCGCCCCCGGGGTCATTGTTTTTCCCTATATGCATATAGTAAAAACTTAAAAATTCTTCTTTTAAAGAACCAAAAGAGCTAGACCTAAGATATTTAGCATGAAACATCTTCTAATGGGTGTCTACCAAGTTTGTTCAAATAAAAGCCCTGGGGTCAAAATTGGCCCCGCCCCAGGGGGTCATTGATTTTCCCTATATGCATATAGTAAAAACTTTTAAAATCTTCTTTTAAAGAACCAAAAGAGCTAGAGCTAAGATATTTAGCATGAAACATTTTCTAATGAGGGTCTATCAAGTTTGTTCAAATTAAAGCCCTGGGGTCAAAATTGGCCCCGTCCCAGGGGGTCATTGATTTTCCCCTTTATGCTTATAGTAAAAAACTTATAAAATCTTCTTTTAAAGAACCCAAAGAGATAGAGCTAACATATTTAGCATGAAACATGTTCTAATGGGTGTCTACCAAATTTGTTCAAATAAGAGCCCTGGGGTCAAAATTGGCCCTGCCCCGGGGGTCATTGATTTTATTTATGTGAATAGCAAAACATTTAAAAAATCTTCTTTGAAAAAACCCAAATAGCTAGAGTTAAGATATTAAGCATGAAACATCTTCCAGTAAGTGTTTTCAAAATTTGTTGAAATAAAAGCCCTAGGGTCAAAATTGGCCCTGCCCTTGGGGACATTGATTTTCCTTATATGTGTATAGCAAAAACTTAAAAATCTTCTTTGAAAAAAACCAAATAGCTAGAGTTTAGATATTAAGCATGAAACATCTTCTAGTGAGTGTTTTCAAAGTTTGTTAAAAAAAAAAGCCCTGGGGGCAAAATTGGCCCCGCCCTAGGGGTGTCATTGCTTTGAACTATATGTGTATAGTTAAAACTTAAAAAATTATTTTTGGAAAAACTCAACGAGCTAGACCTTAGATGTTTAGCATGAAACATTTTGTAATGGGTGTCTACCAAGTTTGTTCAAATAAAAGCCCTGGGGTTTAAACTGGCCCCACTCTGGGGGCCTATATACAGGTGAGCGACTTCAGGGCCATCATGGCCCTCTTGTTTAAATTTTGTTTGATTTTTCAAGTAATAGGATATTACTTTGTTATTTATTAATGGATATTTCTAAAAAGGGGACATACAATCCTTCAGAAATTATCTTCGTGCAAACCAAGAGAACTTCACTTTTCAATGTTGCTTGATTTTAGATATAACTTTGTTTATTAATTCGTTGCCTGTATTTATACTTTAACAGAATGTCTTCAAGAAAATCAAGGTCAATTTGAACTTGAATCAGATTTGACTTAATTTTTGAGAAAAGAACAACTGTGACAAAACCGACATGTTCAATTATTATAATATGACATTGACGTTAAATTGACAATGACTTTTAAGGTCCTTTATTTGCTTGAATTGTCATTTTTTTTTATTGATTTATACTTTAAGAAGAAAGGACAAACCACAAGAAAGACAAGCTGAATTATTCAAACTGATTTTGACATTGAAATGACATTGATCATTGAGTTTAAATTATTGAATTGTCATAAATTGTCATTACTTTATTAAAATGCTTTACAAATCTGATTGATAGCCGATCTTACTTCAGCGTGACTCAAATATTGTGGGAGACCTCAAGCTGTTCTTGTTAGAGTTAACATCACATCCTGAAACACTGAGTGAGAATCATAATAAACAAGGTAAAAAGAGTATCCCTAAATCAACCACTGAAAGGTAGTATGTCTCTTAAAGAACATAAGGGTAAAGATCGAGAAGAGAGTGGAGCTATCAAAGTTTAAGACGAAGATATTTCGACGTCTTTACAAATAGTTAAAATTTTATTGTTTAATAACCTTTTCAACAGCTTTCATATAAAATAAATTTTATTATTAATTTATTTTTCTATGTACATTATTTTGGTCTTAAAAATCATTTCACATACTAGAGTATTTAATTTAATACTATTGAACTGACAGGCAAATATGATAGTCTTTCTTTCCACTCTGAATTTTACTATTTAAAACTGTTTAATAACATTTTCTTCACGCTGTCAGTTTTAGAACTAGAACTGCATTGTGATTTAAACAATTGTATGTAGTAAGTTTAATAGTATGATAACAAATTAAGAATAAGTAGGGCCGCAATGCGACGAAAACCAGGTTTTAAGAACCAAATATTGAAGTGACAGGAATTATGAATGAAATATGGCACTAAAGAAAAAATGATGTTGTTATTTGTACCATTACACAGAAAGTTAGTTTTAATAGATCAAAATAAAAGTATACAAGATTATCAATTAGTATCAATGCCAGGCTGTATTTTCATGTAAGCTGCACACATGCCAAGTTAAGTATCAATAGGTCAAAGTGTTCTGAATTCATCGAGTAGAAGCGAAAAATTCTATTGTAAGCGAGTGACCTTGACCTTGCTCGCAGATATCTATGTAGCCATCCCAAGCTGCATCTTAATATAAAGTACCCACACAGCAGGTTTTATTATCCCCCGCCGAAAGGCGGCGGGGGATATAGAAATAGTCTCCGTCCATCCGTCCTTCCGTCCGACATTTTTGTCCGGAGCATATCTCTAAAAGTATTTGAGTTATCAACTTGAAACTTCATAGGTTGATAGACCTCATTGAGGAGGAGTGCAGTGCACAAGAATGATAACTCTACCCTGCATAATTTTTGAGTTATTGCCCTTTGTTTTTTTTCAAAATTGATTTTTGTCCAGAGCATAACTCCAAAAGCCTATGAGATATCAACATGAAACTTCATAGGTGCATTGATCTCACTCAGGAGGTGTGCAGTGCACAAGAATGATAACTCTACCTTTCATAATTTTTGAGTTATTGCCCTTTGTTATTTTTCATACTTAATTTTTCACCTGAGTGGAGCATAACTCAAAAAGTGTTTGAGATATCAGCATGAAATGTCATAGGTGGATAGATCTTATTGAGGAGGAATGTTGTGTGCAAGAATGATAACTCTTCCCTATACAATTTTTGAGTTATTGCCCTTTGTTCTTTTTTATGCTATTTTGTCCAGAGCTTATCTCAAAAAGTATTTGAGGTATCAACTTGAAACTTCATAGGTTGATAGACCTCATTGAGGAGGAGTGCAGTGCACAAGAATGATAACTCTACCCTGCATAATTTTTGAGTTATTGCCCTTTGTTACTTTTCAAAATTAATTTTTGTCCAGAGCATAACTCAAAACGCTTTTGAGATATCAAAATGAAACTTCATAGGTGCATAGATCTCACTCAAGAGGTGTGCAGTGCACAAGAATGATAACTCTACCTTTCATAATTTTAGAGTTATTGCCCTTTGTTATTTTTCATACCTAATTTTAGCATAACTCAAAAGTGTTTGAGATGTCAACATGAAATGTCATAGGTTCATAGATTTTATTGAGGAGGAATGCTGTGCACAAGAATGATAACTCTTACCTGTACAATTTTTGAATTATTGCCCTTTGTTCTTTATCATACTATTTTGTCTGGAGCTTATCTCAAAAAGTATTTGAGGTATCAACTTGAAACTTCATAGGTGGATGGATCTCATTGAGGAAGAGTGCAGTGCACAAGAATGATAACTCTACCCTGCATAATTGTTTAGTTAATGCCCTTTTTTAGCTCACCTGAGCACGAAGTGCTCAAAGGTGAGCTTTTGTCATCACTCTGCGTCCGTCGTGCGTCGTGCGTCGTGCGTCCTTCAAAAAATGGCGTCAAACTTTTCAAACAACATCTCCTCCTAAACTACATGGCCAATTGCAACCAAACTTTACAGAAATGATCCTTAGGTGAACCCTTTCAAAGTTGTTCAAAAAAATTTAAATTCCATTAAAAACTCTGGTTGCCATGGCAACCAATAAGAAAAACTTAAAAAAAATCTTCTTCTAAAAAACCGTAAGAGCTAGAGCTTAGATATTTGGCATGAAACATCTTCTAATGAGTGCCTACCAAGTTTTTTCAAATCAAAGCCCTAGGTCAAAATTGGCCCCGCCCCAGGGGGTCATTGATTTTCCCTATATGCATATAGTAAAAACTTAAAAAATCTTTTTTAAAGAACTCAAAGAGCTAGAGCTAAGATATATTTAGCATGAAACATGTTCTAATGAGTGTCTACCAAGTTTGTTCAAATAAAAGCCCTGGGTCAAAATTGGCTCCGCCCCGGGGGTCATTGATTTTCCTTATATGTGTATAGCAAAAAGTTAAAAATCTTCTTTAAAAAAACCCAAATAGCTGGAGTTTAGCTATTAAGCATGAAACATCTTCTAGTGAGTGTCTACAAAGTTTGTTCAAATCAAAGCCCTAGGGTCAAAAATTGGCCCCGCCCGGGGGTCATTGATTTTCCTTATATGACTGTGTATATAGCAAAAACTTAAAAATCTTCTTTGAAAAAACCCAGATAGCTAGTGTTTAGATATAAAGCATGAAAATCATCTTCTAGTGAGTGTCTACCAAGTTTGTTCAAATAAAAGCCCTAGGGTCAAAATTGGCCCCACCCCAGGGTGTCTTTGATTTTCCCTATATGCATATAGTTAAAACTTAAAAAATCTTCTTTTAAAGAACCAAAGAGCTAGAGCTAAGATATTTAGCGTGAAACATCTTCTAATGAGTGTCTACAAAGTTTATTCAAATAAAAGCCCTAGGGTCAAAATTAGCCCCGCCCCCAGGGGTCATTGATTTTCCCTATGTGCATATAGTAAAAACTTAAAAAATCTTCTTTTAAAGAACTCAAAGAGCTAGAGCTAAGATATTTAGCATGAAACATGTTCTCATGGGTGTCTACCAAGTTTGTTCAAATAAAAGCCCTGGGGTCAAAATTGGCCCCGCCCTGGGGGTCATTCATTAGCTTGACTTTTTTATTTTAGATATATACATATTATATAAATACATATATATTTAGTATTTATATATATATATATATAAATATATATATATAATATATATATATAAATGTATATATATGTATAATATAGATATATATATATATATATACATATTATGTATATATATATATATATATATATGTATATATATATGTATATATATATATATATATATATGTATATGTATATATATATATGTATATATATATATATATGTATATATATATATTATATATATATATATATATACTTTTTTCTTTTGATCCCTACTTTGCCCTACTTTTTTCTGAAAAAGCCCTATTATCCCTACTTTTTCATTTTGAAATGAAATAAAAAAAAGGAGATATTTAAAATGGTATTTCAGTAGTATTTTCAGTTGCAATTGATGAGTAGTTCAGGTGTGTGTGTGTGTCTCCTTGTGATGTCCATCCTTGAAAGACTCGTGGTGCCTTGGCAAAACATTCAGCAACATTCTTGCAATAAGGTAAATACATGAAACCATACTGATTGTTTAAATAACTACTATTTTATAATTTCCATGTTCCTCTTGTAAATGAATGCATGCTTCAGTCTAGTTTGACACTGCCAAGTGCTTATTAATGTCTAAATTAGGTTTATAAATATTCCCAATAATGCATTAGCTGAGGGATTCCACAGTTGTCATGCTGTACTGATTCAAAAGAACATATTTTTTTATTGGTTTCATTTGTGTTTGTGTTATTTTCCCCATGTCTATTAGACCATATATGTACATGTTACTTGAATTTTTAAAACAAAGTCATCAATCAAAAATTTTACAAGGTTTAAATAAAACATTGAAATGTGATAAAAGCATTGGCAGCTGTGGGTATCAAACACTGCAATTGACCAATTGCTCTTGTGTCTGAGTAGAGTTCCAGCAGTGTGACTTATCAATTTAGATTCCAAGCTTTTAATTGTCACTTAACAAAAATCTAACATGCAAATACCTTGGTATTGCTTCATCACTATCCATTAGATGGTTGTGCATTTTGTCAACATGATATATTGTTAAGCTTAATCATGAAAATCATTGTCTTGTTGACAATAATGCACAACAATCTGGTAGCAAGCTTGGGTTAGGCTTGTTTCTCAGCTGGATTGTATTTACAGATGTAACTATGCATGTTTGGCAAATCAATCACAAATTGTATGTATATGTACATGTAACATTTAACATTATCATTTGGCAGTGTACTGAATCATGCATACATGTAACCTACTTGTACCTCTTGTTGGTGTTAAATTGTTCCTTAAAATACTTCACTGTGGCATGTTTGTCATAACCTTTGCCCTTGCAATATATTATAATTTTATGCAACATATTAACATGAATATACATCAGTTTAACCTACATGTACATGTAGCTCATACAGTAACATGCAGTCCTGTTCATATAGCTTTTAGTGTACATCCTGGTGTTGGTATTCACAGCTTGTTTGCATTTACCTTGACTATGTAATATACTAGGATCTAGTAGCTCTCGCCTTACTAATGTGAATGTTCTTAAAACTAAAAGCTAGATATACTCATTGTATGTTTGTTTTGCTGATTATATTTGTCCTTATCATTGTAAACAACATTTTGTATTGGTGCACTTGTATTTAAAGAGAAATAAAAAAAACAATTTCAGGTGCCTGTTTTTCAAGCATGGACTGAACTGAAGATACACACAGCCTGATGTTGTCCTGGTGATGGTAAGTCTTAACTAAAACGGTAAGAAATTCCTACTTTATCCCTACTTTTTAACATCAGAAATCCCTACTTTGCCCTACTTTTATACGCCGGTT